CTGTTTGTCTTCCTTCCGTATCCTTAATTGGTGGTACATTTCTTTCACGTCACCACCAAATCCAACACGGCGCTCTCGGAAAGGACTGAGTACGGACGGAAGCGGAGACAGCATGTCAGGACCCTTGAGCAACTCCGAGTTCAGCGAAACACCTTGGACTCTCGCTGCAGCGTCCCACACGAGGCGTACCTTTTCAGGCTTGTGGGGATGTTTAACCACATTTAGTGGTAGATACCATACTGTGGCTGGATCGGATTTGGCCAGCTCCTCTTGCGTAGCTATGTGCGCATACTTCTTCATTTGATATTCCTTAATTTGGCGCCTTACAACCTCCTGCAGCTGAGGATCCTTTGCCAACTTTCGCTCTAAACCTATCAATCGTCGTTTCGCCATTCCGTAGCTGTCAGGAAAGCTTCTTGCATCACGTCGCCAGAGCAAACCTGTCTCAAACTGGTCACCGACACGAGTTGTAGTCGTTCGTAGGATTTCTCGCGCCCGACGATCTTCGTTGGATTCTGGAACAGCGGAGGCCGGGACACCCATTTCTTCGAGACTGTACTGCACACGAATTATATCATGCAGCTCTTGGTTGGTCACGGAACAGGTAGTGTGAAAGTTTACACGAGCATCCTCCATCCTAATCAGCTTTTCAGGACCGTAAATTGTCCACCCCAACTTTGTCCTGACTCCGATCGGTTCTCCAGGTTGACCTATCCTCGACTCCAGTGGTGCAAAGATGTGCAGATTATCCAAACCAATCATGATTTTCGGCTCGTCGGGTCCCGATTCCATTATGGGCAAATCACGCAGGTGGGGATAGCGCTCGGTGATATCCTGGAATCGCACATCTTGTTTTGGCAGAACTAATTCGGACACTGTACGTGCCCCTTGTATCAGCAACTTCTGACTAGAACCTCTCGCCGCTAGCATCAAATTAACCCGCCTGGAGCCGTCTTCATACCGTTTCATATTCCCGGTCCACGATACTATCAACGGTTCCGGAACGCCTTTCACCTGGAGATGGTTTACGACGATGTCCTCCACTAATGTCACGGATGAGCCTTCATCGAGGAACGCCAGTGTATCTAGTGACAAATCCCCCACCGAGAGCGTTACTGGTACCATTCTAAAGATGACCGACCGATTTAAACGGTTATGTGCATTGCATTCTACCACTTGAACCGATTCCCGAGCACGATGCAAAAGGGGGTGGTGGTACTCCTGACAATCACCCACATTGCAGCGCAACTTGAAGCTGCATCGGCTTTTCCCATGGGCGTTTAAACACAATACGCACAGCTTCAGGTTCTCTACCAGCCTCAATCGTTCCGTAACATTCAGTTTTTTAAAATCGTCGCAAAACCTTACCTTATGATCCAACCTCTTACACATCCAGCAAGGCTTGGCCACCTTATTACCCTGTGGTGTCTCACCCTTGGAGGAAGTGTTGTGCATGTGAACAAACTCCTTCCTTTTATCGTTGCGGTTTCTTGCAAGTACTGCTTCACGAAGATTCGCCCCCGTGTAGTCTGCCACTTCCGACACATCCGAAACCACATCGCTGATGAAATCAGTGAACATTCGCAGTGGGGTACCACGACTGTACCTCTTGTAGCGTACCCAATCCAACTTGTAACTTGGCGGAAGCTTATCCACCAGTTCCTGGACCAGCATGGGGTTATTCAAATGGTCTGCTAGCCCAGCTGCCTCCAAATGGTCGCATAACTGTTTCACGGTTATTCCGAAATGGATGAAGGTTCCAAGTTGCTCGATTTTCGGCGACGGAGCTTTTCGAACCTTAGTTAATAGCGCTTTAAGAAGCTTTTCTGGCTTCCCGAAAAGGTTTCGGAGATCGTTGAGTACGTCCGGAACGGATTCTGGCATAACCAGACGACTTCTGACAGCTTCTAGTGCCTCACCTTGCAAACAGTCTTGTAGTCTTTTCAGATTGTCCAGGTTCGAAAAACCACACGCATTGGTGGTGTTCTCAAAGCTGCTTATAAATAACGGCCAGACTTCAGGCTCTCCTTTGAAGATTGGGAGCTGCTTGGACATATACTGCCGTGCAGCGAGTTGTTCTTGACTCAACCGCTGCCCCGACCCGTTGCCTCTGTGCCGTTTATCCTTTCTCTGCGTAACCGATGTCTTGTGTGATTCCTCGTCATCGGAGCTACACATCGTTTTGCTATCCTCCTCTTCTTGAGAATCCTCTTGTTCCAGCAGCGCCTTGAGTTGCTCCAGTTTCGACAGCTTCTTCTTCGAATGCACCGTATTTTCTTGCACCACCGTTCCTTTGGGATACGCTCCTAGAGTATATTTCGTGTGAGCCGTACCATTGTTCTGCAGCCAATTTTGCACCATGTGTTCAACCTCAGACTTGGTTAAACCTACCGACGGCTCCAGGTCAGTATTCTGTTGAGCGGTACGGTGTCCACCAACGGCACCATCCGTTTCTTTCCATCCACCCGAAACCTTCTCCTTCGCATTTTGGAACCGCTCGCGCAACGTATGTTGTTTCTTAAGGAAATCTTCCTCGGCAGCCAGCCTCCTTTCAAGCATTTCTCGCTCCTGTAGAAGTTCTTTCTCCTGCAGCTCACGTTCCTGCTTCAATTCCTTCTCTCGCATTTCCCTTTCGAACTTCATACGCTTTTCCTTTAGGACTTTTTCCATCTCCATCCGCTTCTCACGCACGACTCTTTCTTCCTCTAAAGCCTTCTCTTTAGCAAACTGTTCCTTCTCCAGCTCCTCTATCACCGAAACCAGGCTTTTCACGGATCCAGCATCGCTCTTAGATCCAGATCCAGACTTCTTGGTAGATTTCTTCTGCTTCGTTTGCTCCGGAACACGTAGCCGATTCATGCACTGTGGACAGCTCCATGGTTTATCCCGTATGCTCTCATCAACATCGGCACAACGAAAATGCACCCACAGCTTGCAGTCGTCGCACTGCACCATGTTTTCGTCAGCCCCATCCGGTGCATCACACAGCAAACAATCTCTGTTCGACAAAGCATCCATCTTTTGAGGTTATCCGAATCGTATCTCTTTGATAATGTTCGGATCACGTAAAACAATCTTCGTATCAAACTCTTGTTGAGCAGATCAAAGCTACAAATAGTTTTTATTAGTTAATTCTGATTAGAAAATAACATAATTTTTCACTTACAGATAGTTTTCCTCCTGTAGACAAATTTCCCTCGTACTACTTGTTTTTATGTGTGATTTTAACCTCTGTAGCCGTCGAATTTTATCTGTTTGCTGTTCGTACAATAGTATTTATTTTAGTTTTAATTAATTCATGTTCAAAGACCGTACTTACATTTTCACTAGAATAACAAATTTAGAACTAGGAATTTCAAATAACTGTGATAATTTTAATATTAAACCTTCGACCTGAACCGCGTGACTTGCAATTTGATGATGAACTTGATCTCGATGACTGACAGTCCAAATTTTTATTTTCCTTATCTGTATGAGTCAAATCGGTCCGTCACTCTCTCGATCGCACTTTTCTCCAGGGGCAATAGGTAAGCCCAGCGGTGTTGCTCCCAACAACTATAGTTATATTTGAATGAAGAACTTTAAAAGTGGGTAGTTACCTATAAATTTTATCATAATTTCCAACGCTACAAGAGAAAGCGTCTCTATAATAAGAAATCAACAAAATACCTGAGCAAAGCAATCCTCTGGCAAGCAGGAGTCTTGCTGAAGTCACCACCATAATGGTGGTGTCAGCACTGTAGGCTAGAGTTTTTATGCTATTATGTTTTTATGTGCATTAACGACAGGTATGCGTTAAAAAATCTTATGTGAATAATCATTAATGAAACTTTTTCAATTTTTTCATGATTAGCTTGCTTAATTTATAAATTAATATAATAAATATTTAATTCCTACATGTACGCGCTTGTTGAACATTTATCACGATTATTTTGCCGTGCAACAAATCAAACATCTATGTGGACGGAGCATAATTTCTCAATGTTTGCATCAGCTGTCTCAGATTAGCAGATAATCGAGCCAAAGAACCAACAACTTTGTCTTCAAGCAAAATGTTGGTGGATGACGTTTCTGCCACAGGAGTGGAGCTAAGTCCAGCATGAAAATGATTGCAAATCGAAATCAAATTTTGATATCAACATCAAACGGAAATCATAATTTGATTTCAGAATACGCGATTGACAAATTTGATATCAAATTTTGTTTTAATTTTGCTGTGCATTTGCTATTCAAAAATATGTTTGTTTTCATTGCCTTAGCAGAACATAAAATTGAATGCTTGTTTCGTTATCAATAGGAAAAATGTACATCAAATTGAGTTTTCAGTTTGCTCTCACTGATAGCAGAAATAGTTTTCAATGTGATGTCACAGGAAGATTTTTTTTGCTCTAAATTTTGATATTTTAACCGTTAAAATGACCAATACGACAACAACCTGATTATCAGCGACATCACAACATCAAATTGACCTCAGACTTTGCTCGGGTAATCAGTCAACTCACTCCATAACTTATTTACAGGGAATTTAATTGAGGGGCTGTTCTTGACTGGATAGAAATATATTCAATAAAAGAAAAACATGAATAATTTTTTACGCAAGATGAATCTCTCAAAAAAATTTCCCGTTATTCATGGGCGGCCCCTTCGTTTTTTAGTTTCTAATTATCCATACATATCCTTAATGTTAAGGTAATGAAATGCAGCAAACTCAGCACACCCGGCGCATGTCATGAAAATCGCCTTTGAAAATTAATTTCTTCGTGAGCTCTTGGATGGACAACTTATTTTTAGTATTTTTTTAGTATTCAGTACCCTACAGTCGATACGAATGGATAATTATTTTTCCTAAAATCCATACGGGAGCGTCATGCTTTAATGTGTAGTCCACTTTATTGCAATAAAAACCAATAGTTGTGCTGCCGGTGAAACCGCATAGGAAACAGCATTAACGATGTTGACCAGCTACGACTTAAGTTGTTCCTATTATAGCACAACCTACGATAATAATACATAGTTTAGCGAAATTTACCTTCGGACGTAAGACCGTATCCTTTCAAATCGAAATTCTCGTAGCCCTGTTCGATAACTGTGCGGAGATGACTATCAATTGTAGATCTACTCAAACTCTTATCCACGTTAATCTCGAACGTTACGAACGTTTCGCGCTCATCGTCTGGGTTCGGTCTGTAAACAGAGAATGAGTGGTGAGAGAATTTTTCACAATTTTAGTCTCTGAGAGTGAGAGTGAGACCTTCTCTCCAGAGAAAATGCCATGCAACATTGCATGCAATATATCAAGGCACTCGCGAGAGCAAGAGAGTAGTCTCGTTAAGAGTAAGTGTTTCTCTGAAAATCAGTGCGGAATAACAATAATAAATGTACTCACTCTAGCTCCTGGACAGTGATTACAAAGTTGGCAGTGAAGTCGATATCACTTAGAAGGGCATGTAGCTTTCCGGCAACACCTCGCGCCACCTGTTTGAATTGATTGCTTTCCTTATTCTCAAACTCTGGGTCATAGGCCTCAAAAACCGTCAAGGTCAGTTTATCTAGAAAACAGAACCATGTAATGTAAACAACACCCTTCAGTTTGGTTAATCTGTTTCGTTTTGGTAGCTACTCACATGCATGATCGAATCCAAGCCCGTCCGGCATGCCGCCTGAGCCAGACATTCTGTCTTCATCATCATACGCAGATTCGTCGAACTGTCTCTTCGGTCGAAGTGCTTCATCACCTTGCCACCTTTTGTTCTTTTCGGAACGGGCCGATTTTCTCAGATTTTCACTTTTTTGTTTCTCACTTTTCTGGCTCTTCTTGTCACTCTTCTTGCTTGCATTTAAATCTCCGCTGCGTTCCTTTTTACTACCATTAAGTGGTTTCTTAGGATTCTTCTTCTGCTTCTTCTTCTTTGCTGGTTTGACGCTCTTTTCAGGCCCACTTAATAGATTATCAATGCTGCGCTTGATTCTGTGTACACTTCGCACCAGCCAATTCTGACTTTCAGCTTCTGGCGCCGCCACTTCCTTTCCAGCCTCTTCGACGTCGTCATCGTCATCGCTGTCATCGTCTTCTGTATCGTCATCGGCGATCGCAACATTGTTGTTATCAAAGCCGCCCAGGTCGAAGAGACTATCCTCCTCGACGTTTTTGTTAGTGGTGCTGCGTTTGCTACCTGAGGAGTGCGATTGGCGCTCTTCACCGATAGCCTTATTGGACAGTGGCGACGAGATATCGTCAAACACTAAATCAACATCACGGTGGTGCTGTAGGGGAAAAAAAAAAGGGGGTTTAGCCATTTTGTAATTACAAGTGTACAAGTGTAGTATTCGCTTGAGGAAGTATTATGGTGAATTTTCACAGATCCTTTTCCGACATTACTGCCGTTCTACCCATAACTGTCCCATGTTCTATGCAATCCTTATGCACCGTGGGACTCTTATGCGTATAACGGCAGATTAGCTCTACTTTTCTATTAGACAATCCCAAATTTAAGTGTACACTCTTAAAATAAATCACATAGCCAGTAGAAATATCCAATGCCAATTTCACATCCCTTTCATGTGATATCATAATTAAATCACATGAACCTTATGTGTCCAATGAAATCAATATGATTGCTCACATATAATTTATCATGATACCCTACCTATCGACTCATCAACTTATGGATCGTAATCAGAGATTTTATGCCTCAGAAAATCCTGACGGCGCCGACTGGGATTGAACCCAGGCCCTTTGGAGTGAGGTCGTTTTATACTGGTTTTTGTTTATTTGTTTATTTGTTTATTTGTTTATTTGTTCTTCGTCTTCGACAGTGTCGTACAGACTAGTTTAACTTATGCTATGTTTTTAATCCTATTTTTAAAACAATTTTTGGACACATTAAATTCAAACAAATCACTAACATTGTTGAAAGCTCTGAGGCAAGAACTGAGCGGGTTGTTATGACCATAACATGTTCTTTGTGCGGGAACTGCGATAAGTGCTGAGTACCGCAGCTGACGCTGTGGAACGTTCAGTGATACTTGCAGGAGAAGATCCGAACAGTCGACGTTATTCTGGACGATATCGAATATAACCAGCCGCTGCAATTTCAGCCGTCTTGCCGATAGCAGTTCCAGATCAATTAGTTGACATCGTTCTGGATATGCAGGTAGATGGACAGGATCATTCCACGGTAGGTGCCGAAGAGCAAAGCGAATGAATGATTTCTGCACACGTTCGATGCGGATCACCTGAGATGTATGGTACGGTGCCCAAATGGGAGCAGCATATTCCAGGATACTTCGCACTAAAGCACAGAACAAGGCTTTTAATGTGTGCAAGTAACTTAGAGTGACCCCTGAAGAATTAGACATTTAAAATTAACTTTTTATGCATTGATTTCTCGCAACGGAACCATGCTGTTGTTTGTTTTATTTGAAAAATTATTAATGGTTATCGTAAAAAAACGCCCTTTTTAAAAGCTATTTAAATGAGTCAAACAATACGTCCATAAATTTTGCAAAATCGTACATGCACTTTGTTGTACGAGAATAATATTTTTGTAATTGCTAAGTTGATAAAGGAAGGTCATTCGTCAAAAACCGCAAAATATGGCACAGCCTTAAGTGATGAAACAAAATTGGCAGTCATAAATTTTATTGAAGATGATGATATAAGCCGAGCAATGCCTGGTCAAAACAGATTATGTGTCTGTGCAGAAAGAAGGAAAACGACAAGCCATTCAAAAAAGATTACTAATGATGACTTTGAGAGAAGCTTATAAACGATTCAATAAAATTCACTGCAATGTAAAAATTGGATTTTCTTCATTTGCAAAACTCCGCCCTAAGCAATGTAAACTTTTAACCAGCTCTGGAACCCACAATGTTTGCGTGTGCACAACGCATGAAAACATCAATCTAATTTTACACAGTTTGAAGAAACTTAACCATTTAAATGATGTAAAAACGTTAACTGACAGCCTACTTTGTGAAAACAAGACAACATATTGCTATCTACGGTGTTGTGAAGATTGTCCAGACTCTTCCGCATTAGAAAACATTTTATTAAAACAATTAGAGGAAAAATGCATTGATCACCTTTCATTTGAACTGTGGGTTACCACGGATAGATGTGATTTAGAAACTATTGTAAAGCCTGCAGACGAGTTAGTTTCATTTTTCTGCTTGAAATTGACAAGTTTGATACCACATGATTTCATAAAAACACAGCAATCTAATTTTTTGAAAACTACACGAAATAATTTGCAAGAAGGTGAATTTTTAGTTACTTGCGATTTTTCTGAAAACTACAGCTTTTTGTTACAGGATGAAGTTCAGTCTCATCACTGGAATGTCCAACAAGCTACCATTCATCCTTTTTTTTATATTTTTTAGAGAAAATATGCAAGTTAACATTTAAGTTTTATTATAATTTCTGAAGAGTTAAGGCATGACTCAGTGGCTGTTAACTTATTTATTTCTAAAATGATAAGTTTTTTACGCATTAACCAAAGTAAAAATATCAACAAGATTTATTTTATGTCTGATGGAGCCGCGTCACAGTACAAGAACCGGAAAAATTTTGCTAGCCTTTGTAAATTTAAATCAAAGTATGGAATTGAAGCCGAATGGCATTTCTTTGCAACATCACATGGGAAAGGTCCTTGTGACGCTATTGGAGGTACAATAAACCGCATGGCTAATAGAGCAAGTTTGGCCAAAGAACGTGAACATCCAATAAAAAAATGCAAGAGAGCTTTATAATTGGGCAAATAATCGAAAAGAAGAAGAATTAACAAAATTATCATTTAGTTTTGCCACAACAGAGGAATACGAAAGTATGGTTTCACACCTCAACGAGCAATATAATAATGCAAAAATAATTCAAGGAACTCAAAAGTTTCATTCTTTCATTCCTGTTTCAGAAAATAAAATTAAAGCCAAACGTTACTCAAACTGTAATGATAATGATGCCAAAATATTCGATGTATTTAAGAAGTGATGTAAATAAAAATAGAAAGTAAGTGTATTACAATGAAAATAAATTATATATCATCTGTCCATAAGGTTTCCGAATAAAAAAAAAGTAAAAAAGAGCAGAAAAATGTATTTTGAGGATTTAAGTTGAAATTTGAAAATAAAAAAGTAGTCCGGATTCGCTATTACAAATTGTAATAGCGAACCCCGACTACTTTTCCAATAGGGCCTGTGTAGAAAAGCGTTTATAAAATAAACATTTTAATACATTGCAAAAATGGCTTGCTTGAATGCTATGGTGTCTTCGGGAAAGTTGTGCAAAATTAAAATGAGATTCTTGAAAAAATATACACGGTTAAAAAATATGTGTTTTTAATGAAAATGTAAAAATCGTGAAATTTTCAAAACACAATAACTTTTTTGTTTTTGAGTTTACCATCACCAAACTTTGCCAGTTTGTAGCAAACATTATGAGCTTCAATGAGGCTTAAAACTGCACTTTTTGAGAAATTAACTGTTTTAATAATAAATATAATTTTTTTCATTGATGCAAACGAATTTTTTTTACAGTGTATATTTTTTACACAATTGCCAAAACAATATCTACAACTTTGCTGAAGACACCAAATCAATCGAACAAAGCGTTTCGGCAATATATATTTTTAAACTCATTAGTACTATTTTACACATGCCCTTTTCAAAAAGTAGTCGTGATTTAATATGAAAAACTGAGTGCACAAAATGGCGCCTTTACTAAAAAGGAACAACTGTGCAAAGCTTCAGCGTAATTGGAAATGATCGGTCAGGATCGATTTGCGTACCTTCGTGGAATGTCTCAATTTGGAGGGGTGGGCTTTTATTTGCGAGATATCGACGGCTACAGCCATTGTTTACAAAAACAATTACGCCCCTTTGAAATGTTGGCACTGAAATGCATTTTGCTCTAAATGTGATTTAAAATTTGGTAATAATATCTTTTTTATTATTTTTTCTATGATGCTAACGGGTGTTCAATAAAAAAAGAGAATTTTTTCAGTCATATAGCAAGTAAAAAAAATTTTTTTTTAAGGAATTCAGTATTTTTTATTAAAAACATCTTAATCGCGATGCTTTCACAAGAGCACTGGACGGCACTGAAATCATTCCCATTTTTTATTGAGCACCCGTTAATTAACAGAAATTTATACATGTCCAAGAAAGGATCAAAACATGTGAATGAAAGTGTGTGCTCGTTTTATAAACTGAACAGTCTTATATCCGGAAAGTATAATTGATTTGTTGCTAGTGGCAGTTTATGTAAGCCGGGTAAATTTTCAAAAGAACTGCAATATGTTGAAATACAATTATGTTTTATGTAATTTGAGTGGGGATCGTCATTAATAATTGTTGGAAAAATGGTTATCAAAATCGCAGAGCAGCTAATCGCTTATTTCAAACACAACATCATCATCGTTAACCCTTCTCAGTTCATTAAGTGGGGAAAAGTTATGCATCGGTTGAACACTCACAGAGAAAAATCACTTCAATGTGACTTTTTCCAGTCATGTAACGAATGTTTTGGCTGCTTCTGTCTGGATACTGTGCGATATAAATGTGTCAAACCGTAGACCCTCTTAAGAGTGCGATTCAACAAGAAGCAAATAAAAGGGACACTCAGAAAGAGGTAGTGTCAACCCGTGATCACATTCTGGCTATTCTTTACTCCACCAAATACTAGTACTTACAGAATGAGGGCAAAATATGGAGGTTTGCGGAATGGACCAATGTGATGAAGGCAAAATGAGCGGCAATATGCTCTGCTGAAGCGCCGCACTATGGAAGGTTTGGCAACCACACGTAAAAAATTACAGATTAGGATAATTATCTGAATATTTTTGATTTGTAGTAGATTTGTCTTTTTATATTTTAAAATATTTCAGAGAGAGTCACGCAGATAAAAGCGTGACTGCCACTTGACTTTATGAGGTAATTATAATTAGCCATTGGATCCGGCCCATCTGTTGATAGAATAAGTTTCTACAGTCAATTAATGCAATAGCCTAATAGCCTAATAATGAATTATGTCATTAAGTTTTTTCCAGTTAATTTTCACAAGATTTTGATTTAAGCAATAGTCACATTTGCACAGTGTGTGTGTCCGTTTCTGGAGGAAACTGTGAAAAATCTTGTCTACCTTTTTTTTTCTCTTCCACTGACTTTCTGTTGCACCCTTCAGGTCGTACATGTAATGCTAGGTAAGGAAGACAAAAAAAAACAACAAGACCACTGGTAAGACAAGTGAGATGGTGATCACCAGCCAG